GTTTTTTTTTTTTTTTTTTTTAAAGCTAGTTAGTATACCTACTACTAGCTAGGTATACTAACTGGAGATTGTTAACTGGAATTACTGCCAGAGTACGCTGATAGCTGATCTACTGAAACAGAAGTTAAGAATTTTAGACCATGAAAACGGAAAGTATTTAACGTGCAAATTGAAACATGATGAAATACTGAAATATTTTAGACAATGTCACATTGACAGGTTAAGTTAAATCATTTAATAAGCTCTATGACCCTAATTAATTAAACTTATGCATACTATTAATCCCTCTAATCAATCCAGTTAAAGACTAAAGCAGTCTCACGTGTTTGTACACAAAGTGCCCTGCTGAAGTGAGTTTTAACAATGCAGCTAAGCAGAACGCTGGGATCAGTCAGAACTCGGTGACCATTATGTAGCTGGTAAGCAGAAAAGGTCTGTAAACTCACCTGCTTGGTGTTTTTGAGGTAAATGTTATATTGCCCAAGATAAATAGTGTTCACGCACTGTTACCTGTGTTTGTCTTTGAGTGTTTAGTGCTTCACAGATGAGGCTCTTGTTAGCAAATCCTTCCTTTGCAAAACGTCCACTCCTAAAAGACAAGCTCACGGTATTTTGTACAACATGTAACAGGAAAAATATTCATCCTTCATCTTTGTTTCTTCCTCATTAGGAAATACTCAGGAAAACTTTGGGGAAAAAAATAAGATTTAACATCATTGTATTTATTAGGTTCCGAAACAATACACATTCACATCCTTTTGAATACAGTACATTTGGCACAGTAATAATGTTTACGATGAAATAACACTAATGAATGGCAAGAGATTCAAATTACATCCATAGGAAAAAAAATTCTGTACAAATAAATCCTCACAATAAAAAAAACCCCTACCCCCCCAACTGAATACATTTTATAGGTAGCCAGAACTATTCTGCATATAATTTAAGAAGAGGTAATTTGTAAGCCTTTTTTGGAGAGAATTATTTTTCACCCTATGGAGAAAAATGTGTTTCCATTTTTTTATAAAGTCTATCTGGGAGGAAAAACAAGAAACAATGGATTTTTTATAATTATTATTATTATTAATAATCTTTTTGGCATTTTGCACTCATTTTACAAAGAAGGAACAGGAAAGATTTTACAGAACAGGCAGAAATGTAACAGAATGTCCATTTTTAAGAATTATCTTTAAAAAATGTTCAAGGTAACAGACAAACCTTCTGACGTAAACCCAATGCAGAGGATCTAACTATTTATATTGAAGAAATATCTGCCCATTAAAAAGTTTTTATCTCCTTGACTTTTCTCTTAGCATCCTACCAAACATTGCAGGTGCTGAGGCCTCTTGAAATACAAACGTTTGCGAATTATCTTCATGTTAGAAACAGGAATACAGACTACATAGCTTGCTTACAAAAGCTTTATGGGATGCTTTTATTCTTTCAAAATAAATGCTCAGAGTTTTGTGTAAAGGCCTCTTGTTGTACAAACAGTAGTGCACTCCCCGATAACTTGTCTTCCTAGCCAGTCTACTCACCTATGGAAAAGAACGCTTTAGCATTGTGATCAGTTCTTGCCTGGATGTCAAAAGCTAACCGTGATGAGAAATAAACAGAGCCAGTGGCGAGACACAAATTGATGGGCAGTTCTACAATATATTTCTAAAAGAGAAAGAAATTTAAACATTGAGATGATGCAATCATTAAGATGTTTCTGTGCTGGTACTCAGCTCCAGAAGCTAGTCTTTTCCCAGTACAAAAGATTACTGAAGATAAATTAAATTAAACTAAAGGCTTGATCCATTATTACACCTGTAGGCCAGACAACACATTAATTGATATATCATAATATTTAATATTTTGAAATCATCATAAGAATATATATAATAATTACACCTGAGTTTTAAAAACAAAACAAAATGGAACTGAATGTTGGCATCAGTAACAGGCTATGAGCAGCCAGACGCAAAACTGACACAAACTAACTCATCTGCTTGAGACCGAGATTCTCTCTTAAAGCCAATGATTCACACTTTGTCCACCACGATTTGTAACATTCCTTTCTCTTTCCGAGCTCTATCATGTCATAATAGAGTTGAAGAGAACTATACAAGAGATTTAGTATAGCTTAATATATGTCTACATCTTTTATAACAAAAACCTCATCTCTCTGACAGTAACTTGAACCAATACACATACAAGAGTATTGCACATGGACATTATTATAATTATTCTTTCATAGACTAACATTTTAATAGTATGCCTGAACATGCAGCAGTTGATACCTCTATATTCAATGAATTCCACAGGCCTTGCAGCAAACACTATATACAAAATCTCACCTGTACAAAAGGCAATACAGGCCACAGGCCTTGCAGCAAACACTATATACAAAATCTCACCTGGGCAAAAAAGCTTCTTTAGTGCCACTTTGCCAATCACAAGTATATATATTTTGTGCAGCTGGGAAATCCATGTGCAACAATTAAAATGGATTCCAATGACCGCTCACTCAGTCCAGTAAAATATATAATAAAATGACCTCAGCGATACATGTACACAAAAAAACCCCCCAAAACAAAACCCAAACCAAACCACAGGGTACTCCTGGAAATATAAGTACATAACACTGTTAGCGTATCTACAGGAGGTAACTTCACATTAGTAATATTGTCCACATGAGTTACCATTTCAATTAATACACAAAAAAATTCCATTTACAACTTTCAGTAATGTCAGTTTGTGAATGTTTGATCTTCAGGTTTTTAAACGCCTCCACATAATGCAGGTGTAGCCTTATTTTGTGTCTTCAAAAAGCAGATTTCTCTTTAGATTTTAAACATAAAAAACAACAAACACAGTAGTATTATGGTTTTGTAAAAGTGTGCAAAAGTAACACACTGCTGAGAAAATAAATATAAATAAGAAATTATTTATCAACTTAGCTACAATGGAAATGGCAAATTTATAATGTTTATAATTAATTTTTTATGTAAAATTAACTGTAAACATTTTCAAGCTTGCCATTATATTAATGGTTCATTTAAATGGATATTAAATTTGGTAACATGGATAGTACACCCAATTGCCTGAAAAACAGCAAAATGCCTATATATAGCTGTGTTGAAGTACTATAGGCTTTTTATTCTTTAGCCCTTTAATAACTATCCATATAGTATCTATCTCCTGCTTTAAATAAAATTTCAGTTATCTTTGTGACTCTTCTTATTCCTAAGAGTTTTCCATAAATTGTACGAGGAACTTCACTGAAAGCCTTAATTGATGTGCTTCTTTTTCTGGACAGCTTTATTTCAAGTCTGTACCTCACCACAATAAATTCGTAATTGAGGATTACACCTCCACAAAGGCAACATATTACTTATTTGCTTACCAAAGGGCAACATATTACTTATTTGTTCCACATCTGAGTGCAGATCTCACTATAACCACCAGTGCAGTTCTCACCTTCTTAGCTTAAATATATATGACGATTACAGAATGTGATCTGCTAAATCGCTTTTAATAGCACGCCTTCATTTTCCATGGAAAAGATGCAATTTTGTCCTCTGGGGAGATCTTAGGAATAAAAGAAAAGTTGCAAATATACGGCAGTGTGTTACATCTACAATTTCTGATACAAAATTATTTTGCATTGCTTTGTGAGACAGAAATTAAGAGTGCTTTCAGGTCAGAAGATTAAAGGAAAAAAACAATAAATATATACTTTAATTGGGGATATGGGCTCAGGGTAAGAAAAGCAGTTCTTGATCTACTGAGTCTCAGTAATTTGACAATCTCTTCAGAATCACTTCTTGCAGCATCATTCATCTGTCAGCCTAATGTTGTCTATGGCAGTAGTTCTTCTCCAAAATAAGAGAACCCTTTAAATTCTTCTTGATTGATTTGTTTTATAATTGTCTCATCCACTAGCGTTAATACTGGTTCCTCTCGTGTAAAGTCTTGATCAAAGTTATTTACATCCCTTTTGGTTTTCTGAGAAGAAAAATACAAATAAGGTGAATGGTAAAACAGCCCCCCGAAAGGCTGAATTTTCTGGAATGATTGAAATAAAAGAGGAGCTACTTCACACAAAGAATAACAGACGTATGAGAGAAGCTACAGGAGCAAGTATTATAAATGAGTTCAGGAGAGGCCACAGAAGCAGTACTATAAATGAGTTCCCAGAGACTCACGGGTCTCTGACAGGCGAAGGAATAGCAGTATGATGATAAAGCAGGAAGCTGAGATTAGGACTAGTTTAAAAAAGGCTTTGGCATAGTAGGTGGTACAGCTGTTTCCTCTTAGATTTGAACATAATGATATCTCATTTCAGTGGCACAGAGCGAACTGATTTAATTCATTTCCCCACAATATAGCCTACTGTTTCAACTGTAAGTTAACTATTTCTTTATATCTGGCTACACTCAGCTTTAAAATCCGATGTAGATCTCACAACAGCTCTCAGTCCAAAATCCTTGAGCTCCACATTGGCAACTCAGATTTCCTAGTGCAGCCAAATGTCATTCGGAGCACCCCGGCAAACTGTGAAAATCTGGCTCCAGAGAAATCCACCTCCGAACTCTTCTTCATTTCAATGGCATCAGGATTTCCCCACTGAAGTCTAAAGCACCTCGCTCTTTCAGCGAGGTTGGGCCAACAAAGTGCAACTGTACATGTTGTGGTTGGGATAAGGCATATTAACTAGAGACAGCCTTGGGGCGGCCGACTTGTTGTCCTCAGGGCACTCACGACAGTGACCATCTGGGTCCACCTACATGTAAAAAACCTTAAGGCTACAGGGGAAAACATTCCCCATTGTCATTCCCTCGAGACCTGCACTGTTCATGTTTTCCATGTTAGCAGCGTATTTCAGGCATGTACAGGTTCACGGAATTGCAACAAGCATTTTCCTTTACACTGTCTCTTTTCTCTTTGTTTCATGAAATCTAATAGTTACCTGAGTGATACTTAATGGAGGCACACTGACACATTGAAAACTAGCTTTGTGTCCATCCTGCACGTGTCTGAGATGAAGATTATACCAGAAACAGAACAGCTATTTGACTTGCAAAGTAAAATGATAAAATCATAAAGTGATACATCATAAAGTACATTAATGTATTCCAAATGGGATATATGCCTTCCTTCAATGTAGGTAAATTTTCCTATAAAATATATATATAAATGTATTTTGTTCATCAGATCTACTGAGGCACTAAAACCAAATAGTTTTCTTTCTCACAACTGTAAAATGGTCATAGCAACCTTCACCTACATTGTTTGCAAGAACTTTATAGATACAGGGGAAAAAAAGGTCTATATAAATGCCAGAGACTGTCACTTGTAAACCAAGTACTTTCTAAGTGCAGGCAACCAAAAATCCACATCCTCTACCTACAAAACTCCATTAAAAGCAAAGGAATATGGACTTAACAAGCATATATATATTTATGCACTTATATTGTTTACATTTGTAATATTTACTTCGTACATAAAGACTGGACATAAAGTGTATGTGACCTATATACTCTGAACTGCATAAAGCGTGAGGGACATGGCTTTGGGCTTTTATGTTTTTTCCTAGTCATTTGGGCAAATACTGCAAAATAAGAATGAAATTCCGTATGAATTTTTAAATGTATTACATTGCAACTTCGTCTACATTCTTCTTGTTCCCCATGTTGTACCGTAGTGTTTTCACACACACACACAATGAATTTGCTACAGGAGTAGTCACTAAAGCAGGAGGTAAGTGAACATTTGTAGAAAGTAGAATTCAAATTCAGAACTGTAGTTATGTGCAAGGGAAACGTGACTACACTCACACTTTAACCACTAGCTATCCAGGGCAAATAAGGTCTGGACTAGCTGAGAACAAATACAATATATATTATTTTCAGGTTTTCATACTGAACATGTAAGTGTTATTTCATTGCTGAAGCTAAAAGAATAAGATGACAAATTCCTCAAAGCCTATCAGGGGCATTTAATTCCCAGTAGCTACTTTTTCCAGAAAACCATTACTAAGATTTGTGAAGGTGTTAGGTGAAAAAGAGTGCATATGAGTACATCTGAAAAACTGTCCCAACACTGGTGTACCTAAATCCTATTGATTAAAAATAATTGTACTTCCAGTAGAACTTCAAATCCCAAACACTTCCGAAACGACAACCAAAGGTATTTGCTTAGATTTAAAAGCCTAGCGTGTCTTAAAATATGCCTTCAAGACCAAAGAAGGAAATAGAAGTTTTTACTTTCTCAGATTTATAAACAATTCCATGTCTTTTTGGCAGCATAGATGTAAATCACCCGATTTATTAACAGGACAAGTATGGAGCAATCTAAGATTGCAAGGATACGCTAGCGAGCCTCTAACTAACCAACTGATGAAGTGAGATTAAATAAATCACAGGGAACAAAAGTGAGTGGATTAAGCCATACAAGACAAAAGGTAGAGTTCATAACAAGTGCTTCTTTTCAACAGAAAGATTTATTTGAGAAACCCTCCTTAGCAACTTAGGCACTTTCTTCCTGAAGCGATGACTATTTTGCAAGGCCCCATCTGCTAAGACGAAACAGGTCTGGCCACATTTCTGCCACTATTGCTATTTTAATGTACTTGCACTGTGAATACTCTATAGGCCAACAGCATGAACCAATATATAGTTGTAGCATGAGGGCTCAGGATGAACGTATGAAGGGCTGTGGCTGTCTCCTAGCAGAGAAGCTGAGAAAAGAAAGGTAAGGAGAGTATATGAAGGAAACAGAGTGCAGCTATTATCCACCTTTGAACATTAAAAAAATCATGAAGAAAAATGGAAAAATCTTTAGATTAGCTGCAAATGCATCATTAAAAATGCAGTAATTAAATGGGTGGCATTCTGTTTATTTAGCCTGCAGCTTCTGAGACTTTGGGATACATTATTTTTAACTTTTCAAACTTTTTTCCAGGTAAGACTTCTCAACTTCAGATGACTGAAGAAACTAGGGTTATTAGGAAAAAAAGAACCCCCAAAACCACAGCTGTCCACCCAAACACACAGAAATTCGACTAGGTTTCAGATGCTATTTTTTTTCCGCTCTAGACTACCCAAACACCTTGTGTTCAGCATGCATCAATGCTACACGAGAGCAGGGGCACAGCGGCTACCCAAGAGCTTCCAACAATAGGTGCCAAATTCCACACTACACTGAAACTGCTCTACTGCAGGCAGCATGTGGGCAGTCCGTCTCCGTCTGACAAAGAGCAGCAGCAGTGCCACAGCACTTTTAGTGACTAAAAATGACATGACTCCAATTCTAAACCTCATCTGAAAGATGGCTTCTCCACCAGCACGGTATCTCTGATAGTGAGAAGGAATAGTGACTCACTACCTCTTGCGCAGAAAACGTGCCGGCTAGATGATCTTTCATTTTTTCCAGCAGTGTGAATGCTTCATAGGTCTCCCATCTGAGCACTCACCTAGTGTGACCTGCTTATCCTGGGAGACATGGTGGACCTGCTTCATGTGGGTGATATGATCTGATTAAATGTAACACTTATGCTACAGAAATAGAACCCCTTGAATTAATAAATATTAACATGACCTACTACCCATCAAGGATGACAATTTTTAAGTCAAAGTCGTGTTTTATGCTTTTCAAAGATTACTGCTTCTGTTTGAAGAGCTAAAGACATTGGAAATTTTAAAAGACTATCTCTTCATAAAACACCATTTAATCAGCTTTCCTAGTTGGCCTGTACAACTTCAGACAAAGGAATATTGTCTTATGAGTCAAAATACTTTTTTTCTTAAATCTCTTCACATAATTACTAAAATATTAAAAGAACTTCATATGCTATTAATAAGCACACATTAAACAGTGGTTTTCTGAACTGGGTTTATTTTCACTACCATTTCCATGAAAAATTAATTTTCCATGTGCAGTCACAGACTCAAGCTTAAAAAAACCTCCAAAACATGCTTAATAAGCTTTCCAGTGACAAGAACTACCAAACTTGTCTGTTAATGATTACTAAATGACACTATATGAATTGCAACAGTGAAAAAAAGAAATCTAAGTTGATGTCCTTATCACTGAAAATACATTAAGAAAGTTAGAACTTGCCATTCCTTCCATTAATCACATGAACCAAATGTGAGTGACAGGAGCCTTTGGTATTGAAAAGCCACAGAAATCTTTTCAAGAAGGCACCTACAGAGGGTGTTCCAAACCAGGGAACTCAGCAAAGCTTGGGCACCTCATCAGCTGTGTCATGAGGCCAAGATGCTCAGTGGACTCTCTTCCGCCTAACAAGGATTAAATTAATTCTCCAGCTTGGAGGCATTAAGAGGCATCTGTCTCTAATCCATTATTTATTTTCATTTAACCTGAAAGAGTTTTGGTGATTTTCTGCAAGTCCTTTGCAAGCTTAATGGCTCCACTAAATTGGGCTGGAACTGCCCAGCGGGTTCAAAGCCTACTTAAAGGAGGTGAAAGAAAGATGGAGGTGGTGGCTAGAAAACAATGCGGCCACAAAAGCCTAGGTTTTCTATTTTAGTCTGATTTTCCTACAAATTCACAATATGCTGTTTAAATATAACTGTAGGAATCCTCTTTAAATCAATTAATAGATTTCTGTTTAGACTAGTAGAAGGAGGAGCTAATCGAGAACAGACAGCCAATACAAGTGAGGCCAGAAATGATCATTAGAACAGTGAACCAATATGTTGGAAGAAAAAATTATTGTGTTATGATATTTTTCATTAAGTGGACCTTTTGACACAAAATACATACAAAGCTCATCCATGATTTTCACAGTCTGAGATACCGTCAGCACGGAAATGCAGATGCAGATTGGCCTTTCTATATCACTGAATGAAACATCTTTAACTTTACTCCACTGCAATTTTCTGTCAATAGCAGTGCCTGATGCTTCTTCACATATTTTCAAGCCCACAGTGAAATCCTGGAGTCTGACATTCGTTTGGGGAGCTTCACCAGAGAAGCCT